GTAATATATAACCCGAAAAAAACCCATATTTTTGATAAATACCTAATATTTTTTATGACGAAACAAAAAAAATGACGGATAAAAATACATTATGGGGACATATTTTATGCTCGCGACAGTATACAACTTGTAACCCGAGTTTTAATTTAATTTTGGAATGTTATAGCAGTCTAAAAACTTGTTTTATGTATTGTCGATGATACTCGTGGCCGCGATTGACTTTACTTCATAATATGTAAAAAAAAAACATTATCCACCAACAACATTGTTCGGTTACGATCGACACTACTATAATAAAATGTAAACAAATGCTATATAGTGTCGAGGTTTCTTCTTTAAACGGTGTGCACTGTGCACAATACGTTTTCGATTGGTAAGCATTGAGAGAGATAGAGAGAGACAGGGAAAAGAGTAGTCTGGCGTTTGGTTTAACAATAGGCGCGTATCGGATAACGTTTATCTACGACCGAAAATGTTTGGTTATTTTTTAAGACAATGGGTAAAGCGACAAGAATGCCGCTGCCGTCGTGGTCGCCCGATATTGCGAACAAAAGATCCGTTCATCTTTTGTTATACCGTATATGAATAATATTGTTTTTTAGGTCTCGTACATGACATTATTATTATAATATTATCGTTACAATTACAATTATTATTATTATCACCTGGGTGCGCGTCGGTTTTTTTTTGTTTTACGACAAAGTAGTTTTTATTTTGTTATTAAAAAAAAAAAAATCTAATAATAAAACGACGATGATGATGACGAAGACGAACGATAATGAATAACACAGGTTGGGTTACACGGTGGACAGACACGTAAGCACAACGTGGGAGGACAAAGGACATGACATTTTTTAGAAATATTGGCTAAGTTGATGCAAAAACAAAATCCTTTTTGGCCAATGTACAGAGAGGAGACTGGTAAAAAGCATATAAAAATAACGAATAACGGTGGCCGACAGACGGTACCGGCAGCTGTAAATAAAACAACCGGCGTGGTGTGCACGCGTTGTGACGCATACTGCCGGGTAACTGCACAAGGGGAGGTGACTGCGGGGTGGGCGCATAGCACTCACAGTTTACATTACACAAGGAACCGACCGAGTGGCGAGACATCTGCAACGGGGTCTGTTAGTATGTATATGCCTAGTCGAGGCGGTCCCGTAGGTTGTTTTTACCGCATGTCTATACCGCAAGGCGGTCCACCACAAAAAACTATATAGGATGTGGCTGTCAAGCCAGCTCAAAATTTAACATACAAAACAGTGTACTGTGCCCGAAAAATGTGTTCAACAATAGTATTTTTTCTGTCCAGTTGACTTTGGTAATGAAAGTTGTTTAATTCGACGGTCTCGCCAATTCAAAATTTGTGTTTTTTAAACCACAAGTAGATATTAAAAACATAAGGGAACCGAGCTCAGCGGCCCTGCAAATCGCAGAATTCTCAAACTCATTAAACATGGTCTAAAAATCTATACAAATTCGTTTTTCTACAAACGCGGCCAAGGCGACACGCAAATTGAAATCGTTTGTCCGCAAAAATATAAAAATTGTAATAGTTTTAGCTTAAACGCTGTGTATAGTTATTGTACGACTCGGCATGACTGGCATACTGAACAATATTCTTCTATTTTAAACCGTGCTACTTGTATGGTTATTAGGCATTAGCCATATATTATTAAAATAAAATTGCGCGTTTCATTCTATAACCAGTGTTTCAGTTTGTGCAAAACAGCAACGACCGTCAATCAAAAACAACTCTGTTATTTGGAGTCTTAGTAATATTATTTTCAGACACAGGAAAACGATATCAAAGTGTCAATTATATTAAATTGATCGATTATACAAATTGTCAATAAAAGATTAACTGTCAATGTAAACGGAGTTGGCGAAAAATACTTAAACCCAAAAATAAGCCTGTAAGTTATTTTTGTTTAAGCCTTGCCATTGTTTGGTATTTACACAAAAATAATCGTTTTATTGGGGTTAAGCATCTCCAAAAAAACAACTAGCCAGTTTTTTTTTTTTTTATAGGTTATTGACAAGTGAGAATGACAATTTTAATGACAAAAACATTAAGTACTAAATTGATAGGTGCATTATGATTAATGTATGTATCAAGATTTTTGTACTTACTCTGATTATTATTTTTTTTGCTATTCGACTTTCAGTTTACCAAACGATAAAACACTACAAAGAGCCATCAAACTAGCTCAAAACAGTGGCTAATTGAAAAAATCAAACTTGGGTCTAGTTCAGGGTGTGCCTTCGATTTTACGAGCCATGTATAAGTATGTAATATAACGTGCTGACACGGAGTAAAAGTAGTAAAAAATGAAATAAAACACCAAGAACGTTACGTTAGTCATCAGCCGGAAAGTACCAAAACGGGTCGAAATAATATTTTTTTTATTGTCGGAACAAACAAATATACAGATAAAATATTTTGTATTTTTCTGGCGATAACAAGAAATCGTCTGTGTTGCAATTCATCGGTCTAGAGTCTAGACTCTGGTTAGTTAAGTTCTTTAAGTATATAAAAAAAAATGTTTAATACAATAATCGAAACTAAAGCTCTTAATTCTTTATAAACAAGCGAAGAATAGGGCTTAGAACAACAAGACAAATATCTCTTGTAATAAATTCCAACTCACCACTGTACTCTACTCTGACCTTTTAGTTTATTTAAAATTGTTCGTCCATACTTTGTAAAATAACGTTTAAAAATTATTCACGGAGAGAAATGTAAAATTGAGAATATTGGATGAATGTAATCTGCATTGTCATGATTAAAACTGATGTATAAAAAAAACATTTTTCGTTATTTAAATCACAATTTTACTCCAGATAGCTTTTTTCGTGTTTATAATATAATTCTCTCAACATAAATATTACATACTATTATCCTTAAGTATTGACAAATTTAATGAGTATAGAATTTTATCAATTGTATGATATACAATACAGCTAATGCTTACATAATATTATTCGTCGGGTTTTCGTAGACATATTTTTTCTTTGCCCACCATTGTTGCTGGATATTATTTGCAATAATCTGTCGGCTGTGAATGTTATTTCAAAGTTGAATTTTTAAAAAGTTTTGTTTACAAAAAATCAAGGAAATGATTGAAGTGTTTTTAACAAATATTCCAGATTATATCGATGCGAAATTGAAACAAGTCGCGTTTCCCAGTCGCGTGTCCACGGTAAAACGCGAAGATGCGGTTTTCTTAATATTATCAATTCTCATAACATTAAAAAGAACAAGCTAGCTCATAGAAAAAAAGCACTACTACTTTATTTTCTACCGGTTATACTTGTAACGACACAGTCTCCGCGTTATGTATGCGCTCAAAATGATTACCTTCACTAATATTATGCACGTTAAAACGTCAAATACACATGTACTAGGTATCAATTATCTATATTTATATTAATTTTTATTATACAACGGTAAAACGATAATATTGTTATTATGCATCGCTTATGTATAATATTATCCAGATTTGTGGTGCCGTAACAGCTGGAACGCACAATTACTTTATACTATCACACTAAACCGGTAGTAATATTATTATTTAAGGTTAACATCGACCGATTACCGGATATGCGTTGATTCCCGAACATCCGTATCATAACAATTAGAAATTTCCGAAAAACAGTATATTATAAAAACCAGTGAGCAGACCTGTTCGCGCCATATTATTTGCAGTTATAACTCGATGACCAATTAGTGTTTATTGAGAAAACCTGTTACAAGTAATTGAACGTTTTGTGAAGATCTAATTAAATGGAAAAATAATTTAAAAAAAAAAGTATTCTAGTCGCGGTAGAATTTACAGTAGACCCAATTTTAGTACAATTGCAACTGCCCCAAAAACAAGATTCCACGATACGGGTTTTTAATCATTTCATGTACCTACCAAATCCCCCCCAAAAAAAATAGATATTTTTGCCTGGGAAAAGCAAATTTGACACCACATAAACAGAGTTGGCAAAAACAAAAAACTTGGAAACTATAAAAAAAACTCGATAAAATCCATATTGTTGAGTTAACAGCTAAGCATATTTTTCCTGGATTTCTTGAGGTTTGACTTTTGGGAATTTTTTCCCACCTCTGCCGCCTAACTTTAAATTTTATAGGCGATCAACGTTGTTTTGTTATTTTTAATTCTTGTAATTAATTTGTATTGTTTGGTAATGAACCGAATTCATCGGCATAGCCTATGAGAGGCACGTGCCGGCAGTACAATTTTTATTTCGATTTAAAATTAATCAATTTTTATTTTTTTGTACCATTATCATACATCTGATTTTTTTTAGTTATTTTACGTGATAAGATCAGTTCTAATGTTTTTGCAACCATGAAAAATTACCTTGAGTTAGTATACTCCGATTTTACAGTGAACGAAAGTCTGAACAAATCAAAAATTATAAAATCAGTAATGAGTAACGCAAAGGAAAATCGTAAAGCAGAATTGTCAAAAAAAATATCAGGCGGGCTCAACAATTGGGAATTTTATGCCTGGGTTTTTTTGCATACCCATGAGTTTCTTATTGCGAACTCTGAATAGGAGTGAAAATAATACACCGATCACATAATAAAATCTAATAAATTAATATTATAATACTGTTCAAGTGCTTATTTCATATTGCAATCTCGATACGAATATTGTCACATGCAAAGTATTTGTTTTATCTATATTTTAGGACTTCAATACAATAGGAATATTGTAATTTTCATCAAACCAACAGGCGTTTCTGCTAAGTGCTGCTTTAACAGCTTAAATCAACACGAAGTCATAATTTAAATTTTTCAAACGCAAATAACGACAGAAGGTACATAAAAAATAAAACATGATTCATCGGCGATTTCAGACACTTGTTAACAATTGTGTGGTTTTTTCGAATAGGTTAGTAGCGGCTTTTTCGTCTGTTCAAATTTTCAGACGTCTATCGCAAATCCTATCAGTATATTATATAATAGTTATAAAAAATACCTTGATGATTAACTCTATTTCCGGCACATGCCCGTTTTCTTCGATTCCATTGCCATTTGTGTGGGATATATCTTCGTCGGCCATAGTGTCTTCTATGAATAAGGAACACACGTTTGAATCACGCTAAAAACGTTTTACAGCGAATCGCAGCGTACTACTCGATTAAATAAATTTAAAAAAATATATATGTTTATTTATTACAACTTGTTTTATTATCACTACTACTAAAAGAAAAACGACGGACGATATAACACAGGACCGTTCGGCAACCAACCGCGTCACTGATTGACGATGACAAAAAAAAACATTTATGTTTACACGGACTGTCCTTGAGTTGAGTTTCGAATACATGTCATGGCAGAACAAATGTTTCTGCGACTGTTTGTTCCATGCTTTCCCGCGATCTCCATTGATAATAAAATAATGGATGGCACATCAAGCTTATCGTCTGAGAATAAAGTGATAACATTTTAAAGGTTATGAGGGTTCTTTTATTTTCACTGTTTTACATACGTCATACATTTAAATAGTATTCAACAATTATAAATGATTAAAGTAAAAATATTAAGCAATTGACTAATAACATATTATAATATAGTTATTTTGTACATCGACTGTAACAAAAACGTATGACGTATTATTGTATAAATCATATTATAATAACTTTTGTACCTATAACCTTAAAAAAGACCTTTTACCATCTGTCTCTCTCAAACTCATATAATCTAAATTTTATATCTTTCTCACTCTAGCCTCCTCTCCAAAACAGACTGCGACATCTTGCAGTAATAATATTGGCTTGTCCCATAGACCTATCTTTATAGGTCTATGGCTTGTCCTATCCATTTTTTTATAATCTCCCGGTTGCCATGACGCGACGTGAAGACGTACATAGTAACTAGATAACAAACTTCATTAATCAAAAATTAAACGAAACGAAAAAAAATGTTTCATTTAATTTGTAGTGTAATCGCACCGGCAGCCTTAAGAGTTTAGCAGGTGGGATAAAAACGATAATGAAATATTGATATTTTTGGTATCGACATGCAATAATCATAGATATAATATGATATATCGATATCACTATAGCCTATGGAATTAACTGTTAACTGCAGCTTAAATGTATTTACTATTTACGTTTAATATTCCGTAAACGGCGATGATAAAATATTTGATACATTTTTTAAGAATTACTAATGAAACTTTTGAAATTAAATATCCAATCGAATTTTTCGGTTATTTATGAATATATTAATTTTTTCTTATTTGATTCCTTTCTTATTTTTAGTTTGAACAGTAGCATTAAGCTAACTTGCAGTATTAAAACTCTTCAGTTATTTTTAAAAAATACATTTTTTCCCTCAACCATTTACAAAATTAAACATATATTACCAATTTTTTTTTTAATAACATCAAGTAATATGACTATAAATAAATAACACTGTTAAATAATTAATTTTGTTAATTTCATATATAACACCAATTAATTTAGTTATTTAAAAACAGATTCAGAAAATGTGTCAAATTAAAAAAAAAAACATTTATAAAAAAAAATATGAACTTAAAAGTGAACTCCCTTACATTGTTAACAAAACATTAAAAAATGAGGAATATAAAATGTTTTGAACAAAATATGTAAAATTTTACATACAATTTCTAAGTACAAATATTATACTATTAATAACAACGTTGATAAATTTTTTTCTTAATTTGTACATGGTATAAAACAAATATGTTGACAACAAAATTAATTATAGAAGAAAAATATATAAATCTATATTAAATAATGAAAGTTTATACATACAATACAATGATAATTAATGAACATATTTTGCATGAAAACAATTTTTTAAATTATAATATACAATTTATTATGAAAACATTTAAGCTTTAACTTTTTTATTATTTTTTTTTGAACCCTGTTTTTTTCTTTTTCTCTTTTTATTATTCTCGCTATCGCTAGAAGATGAATTTGATGTAATTGACGTACTTCTTTTCTTCTTTTTAATATTTTTGTATACTTTAACTATTTTTTTTTTATGACGTCTTTTGTGATTACGATCAGAGTTAGAACTAGAATCTCGATTCTTCACCACTTTAACTAGTTTGCCTTTTTTATCATAATACTTGATTACTTTAGTATCACAACTAGAACTAGACGATGAGGTTGAACTTGAACTACTACTGGATGATGAACTAGATGAATCTGAACTAGAAGATGATGACGTAGAAACAGTACTTGAACTACGTGACCTTCTCTTTTTTTTTATTCCATTTTTAGATGCCTTTTTTTCATCCGATTTGGTTGATATTTCTTTATTAGATAATTCATTTTCAACAGTTTTTTTTCTTTCTTGTATTTTAATTGGTTTTCTATTTGATAGTGGCGTTACTTCTTTATTTAGTTTTTGTTTGGATAATCCATTTTCGTTATCATATGACTTACGCTTTGAACCATCGTTTGATCTAGAATATTTTTCGTTACTTGGCGATATGTGCCTTTTAATATTTTTATCGTCTTTTCTGGTATTTCTATCACGTTTTTCAATTTTTCTATTTCGTTCATCTTTATCATTTCTTCTACCGTTGTCGTATTTTTCATATCTTTTATCCTTTTCTTCTCTATCCCTTTTCTTTTCTCTCTCTTCCCTACTGTGTCGTTCGCTTTTCTTATCTCTGTCATCTCTTTCGTTTTTCTTCTCTCTATCGTTCCTATCATTCTTCTTTATGATTTCTTCCTTAGAATGCCTTCTATCGTTTGTATTTCTATCAACTCTTTGATGACTATCACTTTTTTCACACCTTTTATTTCTATCTTCATAATCATTATCTCGATGCTTGTATTTTTGTTCATCTTTTTTAAATCTTTCAGATTGATAATCAGATTTTTTGTCTCTGTTGTCATGTTTAGCTCTATCATTGTTTTTATTTTTATTTCTATTTTTCGAATATTTGTCACTTATGTTTTTACCTTCGTCTTCTTTATCCATATACTTTATTCGTCCTTTACCCAAATATTTAATTTTTGATACACTCTGACTGAAATCAACATGAATACGTCGATCGTCTATCAACACATTATCCATTTTTAAATAAGCGTCCTCACATGATTTCTGGTTGTCAAATTCAACAAAAGCATATTGCAAAGAGTTGCCAGATTTTTTGTCTCTTATAACTTCACAACTAAAATACAAATAAACTGAGCTTAAAATAAAATAACATTATACAATTGATAAGTTTAGGTTACCTTATAATTTTCCCAAATCTACTAAATATGATTTGTAAGTCATCGTCACTAGTGACTGGATTTAGCTTACAAACAAATAATACATTTTCAGGTGGAGCTATTTCAGCTGAAGGTAAATCTCCAACGATTTCTAGTATAGTGGCACGAGCTAACGCTTCTTTTTTTTCTCTTCTTTCTTCCAATTCAGCTATATCCACATCTTCTGTTATGTCTTCATCGGCTCCAATTCTATCACTCTACAATAAACAAAAGTATGTAATTTACAGTGCTACCATACAACCAACCAAATTCTATAATGTAATAATAAATTTACCTGCAGGACTTCTAAAGGTGGTTTTGGAGAACCATCGGGAATAATCAAACCATTGGGGTCGCTGTACGGATCATCTAAGATAATAGTATGCGTTATTCTGAAATATCAACATACGTAAAATAAAATATAATTCGACAAAGATATCAACAAGATTTTGCCAAAATTAAGTGAATTTTATCCTTAAATTAACAGAAATAATATTGAACTAAATGTTTAATAATTATAAAGAAATGATTTTTTATTGACGAATAATGCACTTTTTTTATAGAATCAATACCAAGTTTTAGTTATGTCAAATTTCATCAAAAAAAGCTAGATTAGTTTTATAAACTTAATTGGGTAAATACATTTTTCAACTTTAACTTCCTGTCACTATGAATAATGGTGAGATGGAGTCAAAATGAGGAAGAGAATTTGACAAAATTTAGAAGCGAGACTAATTTTTTGAAAGGGGCAACCCAATTTTTTTTTTTACAAATTTCTACATGTTATGACCATTTTTTACAAGTTTTAGTGTTCATGGTTCAAAACCCAATATACAGCTTTTAAAAATAATAAAAAAAGGAAATCTGAATTAAATAAAAAAGTGACTCAGACAGTTGAAGGTAGTTAAATTTTGGTCCGAGAATATTTGTCAACTTGATTCAGCCATTACCACATAGTTATAAGAAGGTAAAGTAAAAAAAAGTGCAACATCTTTAGATGTTTTCTTAATATTTAAGGGTGAAGATGTGAGCATTTTAAAATTTAACTTAATATTATCTTTTAAATTAAATAATTGTATTCAATTTTTTTTATAATTTATACATTATTCAAACATGTTTTTACCCAGGACTGGCACCTACATTACATAAACTGTAATAATAGATATTTTATCCATAGTTTTGAAATACCAACCTTATATCTTGGTATGGTCGATGACTGTTATCACAAATGGTCTCATTTAATTTGAGTAAAATGTCATGGCCTTCGGATATTGTTCCAAAAACAATGTGTTCATCTAATGAACAGGTTGTATCTTCTCCTAAAGTTATAAAAAACTGGGAACCGACTCTAAAAATAAGTAAATAAATAAATAATCTAAGTATTTAATATTACACGGTTACAAACTTGATTACATACAAGTTATCTCCGCAGTGTACCATTGAAACAAGACCAGGTCGATCATGTTTTATTTTTGGTTTTCTTTCCCCTTGATAGTATCTTGCGTCTTTACCAGAAATGATTCTAAATACAATTAATTAGGTAGTATTTAAGTTAAAAGAATAACATAAAACATAAAAATATAATGATTTATCTATACCCATAAACTGATTCTCCCCCACTTCCAGTACCAGACGGATCGCCCGTCTGTGCAACAAAGTTTGCTTCAATGTGATGGAACAAGCAAAAATTGTAGTACTTAATTTTGCATAATTTCAAAAAGTTTTTGCATGCTAAAACAAAAATTCATCATACTACTTAAGTATAAATAATTATAATTTAAACAATAAAAAAGATTTTTTTTTAAAACAATAAAATTGTTAAGGTTTTTGCTATAAACCTTGTTTATGGAAAATTTTAGATCATTAGGTAATAATTGTAGGTTATCAAATGAATTGTTCAAGTAGATGAAATCTTAAAAATTAACTGGTCATAGGTTAATTTATAGCCACTGTTTAAAAATGCACTCTAGATGCAATATTTATAAGACTGAACAACATATCATCAAACATATTTACCAACAATGTGAAATTATGAAAATGAAAACATTCAACCTCCAAGACAATTTTAAAACCTCTGAAACTAAATGTCTAAACGGTTACAATATTAAGCAAATGGTTAGCTTAAATTTGTATTATCAAACATTGTTAATGATTGTCACAAGTAAATTTTCTAAATTATTTCTAGTGTATACCCGGTTTTAAACAAAAAACGGTAGACCAGGCTACTGCAATGACCATTACAGGCTTTAGTTACCAGACAACCAAACTGGCTACATGGGAAGAAAACAAATATAACTCTATAACAAAAAATTAAAGGGTAAGAGCCCAGAGGATACAAGTGAAATTATTTCAAGAAATAGGTACTGGCTTATGAAATCTTTTTTTTATCTGTATTGGTTTAACAATTTGTAAAAAATATATTAAATAAAACTGATGAGCCTCCCCTTTACTTGCACACACACAAATATATATAAATAATAATATACTTTAAAATATAATAATTGTTTTGCTCTCCTGCTTATTATTTAACACAATTAACCAGTATAATTTTGATTCTCACATATTGGTTTAGACTATCATTATGATGTTGTTTTGAAATAGTGGATTGAATACTCACAGTGAGGTCTTGTTTCTGTGAACAGATCAATTGTCAAGTCTCCTATAGTAGTTTCGAGAACTACCGACATAATTCAATGTTCGTGTGGATTTGCTTGAAATAAACGGCCGACTGGTCTAAATCCCAAGGGCAAAACAAACACAATCGGGATGAAACATTGGGACAAACACGATCGTAAAACTAAATAGTAAGCACCAAGAAATTTTTTTCAGAGGAAGAAGTCAAAAACGTATCGTGTCGCACGAACGTGATAAACTGAATTGCCAAGTGCCAACTGCCAACAAGGGAAAGCCAAGGTAATAGCGGTAACCGCCGTTTGGTAACCGTTCGACAGCTCTGCGCGCGTGGTGCAGCTTTCGGCTCATTTACCTAGAATAGGCCTTCAGCCTTCTATATTCTATAACAAAATAAATAGAAAGGATATCAGCAACTCGTAATAACTACAAAATGTCTGCCGGTTTGTTCGGCCAGCTGTGTATTTCTTTCTAGAAAACATCGGCTACCATATTGTAAAAATTGATGACTCGTCTAGTCGTTGATATAATATATTTTTATTTGTAAGAGGCCACCGATTGGCGATTACAGATCCGCCACAGATTAGATAAACCTAAAGTAAAGTTCATTCTTAATTATGGATCCGCCAACACATCGTCATATTATGGATACCGCCAAACCATAGACTATAGAGTAATATCTTTGATTATTATTATTTATAATCAATTTATCAATGGTAATATATTATATTTTACTCCGTTTTATGCGCCAAACAAACCGTGCTCGTGGCGATTCGCGTTATCAAATTTAACCAATAGGTATAGACACAGAATAACCAGAAGGGAAGCCTAGGCCGGGACGGATGTGTTCGACATTTTGTTTTCACGAATTTAGTACATTACCACCGACTAAATTACAATGCTGTTTCCTGGGTCAGTGTGACAATCTATATATATTGGAGAACTACAATTTTCGAATAATATAGTCTATAGCTCCCTGCTGCAAAAGCAATAACCCATGTAATTTTTTTAAAGTTTTCCTTCTGGTTATTCTGTGCTCAAATTGCGGCCATGTTTATGTTGTGTGGAATCCTTATCAGTTTACGGTTATCACAACAATAGCGGATCATTATTGATAATATATTTAAATTTTTATTTTCCATTGATTTCACTCAGATTTAGTCGGTACCACGATTGCTTAGGCGCTGGTACTCGATCCTGTTAGATTCAATGATTATAAAAAATTTAATTAATTATTAATCTCAAGCTAACACTAGCAGGTGTTGGTTTATTACAATTTATACCTTATAAAAAATACCAGTAATTTTCATCTAGATCAATGGCCGAAATCGTCGAACCCAAAGAGCAGCTAGCGGCCACCATCGTCCGTCATTATGACAACGGAGAAAACGATCTATCAGCCCGAAACGAATCTCGTATATTGTACTTAAGAAATTTTAACAATTGGGTCAAATCGACACTTATAAGTAAGTTAACTTGCAATAATCTATTTTCTCAAATTTCAATTGCATTTTATTTTTTTTTAAATAAATTTATAGAAGAGACCGCATCTATATTTAATGAGGATTTACACGGTGGTAAATTGAACGTGCTAGACTTGGCCTGCGGCAAAGGTGGAGACTTGAATAAGTGGAGAAATACGAGCTGCATGGAAAATCTTGTGGCTGTAGATATATCGCCAGGTTCGATAGCTAATTGTCAATCTCGATACGAAGATATGAAAAAAAGAAATAGATATATTTTCAAAGCCAAATTTATCGTAGCCGATTGTACAAGAGTAACCATTCACTTTATTTACGTTAAATTATCCATTTCAAAATTATATTTCAAGAATGCATAAAGTTGATGTCGTACTACGTTTTAACTATATATCTGTAATAATAATTTTTTTTTCAGGTGCCTATAAATAAAGCTTTTATTAATCCCAGAGCGAGATTGCATTTGGTTAGTTGCCAATTCGCATTTCACTATTGTTTTGAAAGTTTTCAGCAAACTCGATGTATGTTGAATAATGTATCTTCCAACCTATGTAAAGGAGGTTATTTTATAGGAACAATACCTGATGCAAACGAAATTGTGTAAGTGACGTTATATTATTTACCATGTAGTATATATATATTTAGTATTTGTGTAAATACTTAAATTAAAAAAAAGTTCATTTAAATAAGTTTGTACTTTCCAAAAGGAAAAATTACTATAATTTAATTTTTTAAGAAATATTACTGTTACGGTCGATTCACACATATCAGTGCCGTGACAGGCACGTGGTCCCGCCGACAAAATCCAAAATATTCTTCCAGGATTTAAAGGGGCCGTGACAGTGCAAACAGTGCCTTCGCCAACACCGTACTGTGATCATCACATTAATTCCCGACAATATTTTTTCAATTTCACGACCGCGTGTCGGTAGGGTTTTCAGCTATTGCGTGTTGTGCTAACTGTGAATAGAAAAACTCCATTTATTTTCTAGCTCTTTCTATTCTCAGTTGGTCGTTGGAGATAGTGATTTAAAAATATGAATTACGAAGTTTCTGACATTCTAAAATATTCCAAAAACTTTGTTCCATCATCTGTTAATTCTTTATATAATGTAGAAAATTCCCCTTCTGAAGACCTATTTGTCCATGCCTTATGAACCCACATCCGTTTTTTACCACATTTTCTTCCTCTTCTTCGTTCAAAACTTTAGCAATCATCAGTAGTTCATTTTCCGAAAACATTTTGGCCACGACCTCCAGACCTAATGACGGATGAAACACTGACCATTGTGAATAGAAATCACGGCTGGCGGAATCTCGGAACGGTCACGTCACTGATATGTGTGAATTGACCTTTATTATTTAAAAAATATGTACATATGTATTTTTAATCTAGTATATTTAAATACTATATAGCATACCTTTAATTTTTTTTTTATTAATAAGTTTATATTTAATGTATTCATTTATGTAGGAGGCGTTTAAAAGAAAATGGAGGCAAAAAATTTGGTAACAGTGTCTACAATATCGAATTTGAGTGCGATACTGACAAACTTCCATTATTCGGAGCTAAATATAATTTTCATTTGGAAGGCGTTGTTGACTGTCCCGAGTTTTTGGTTCACTTTCCTTTATTAGAAGAGTTGGCAAAAAGCTATGGATTAGAATTAAAAATGAAAATGAAATTTTCAGAATACTTTGAGAAATATTACTCTAAGGATCTCAACTTTTTAAATCGTATTACAGCACTAGAGGTAAAAACTTAAACTAAACAGTAGATTACTGCCCATAAAATCGATTGAATAACAAATAAACCAACTTTTTAGTTATATCCACCGCGTGAAGGAAATAACGTTATGGGAATGACAGAGGACTATGTAAAAGCAGAACAGTTTTTAAAAGCAAATGACACCAGAAGTATAGGGACACTTACTCAATCGGAATGGGAAGTTGCAAGTACGAATACAATAGTTGCAGTGGTGTAGTTGTAAGAGTATACCGCAAATAATGTGATATGTAATCTGTATTATATTTTTATAATTTGTGAATATACGCTTAAGATTACACCACTTAATATTTGTTAATTTGACATTAGTCATTTTTTAAATTTACTTATTATATAAACATTTATTTTCAGCTCTCTACATGGTATTCAGATTTGAAAAAACACACGACCAACAGGATGACTGATCATATAATAGTGAACTATTTTATTATTGTAGATACATTTTTTAAAATTTATAGTCCAATTGATTATTATTTTATACTTAATACTTATCAATTTGTGTTTTTTATTTTAGTTTTAATCCTCTTGACCTTTGATTTTCTATCTGGATTTGGTTTGACTTTTTTCATATTTAATGCAAAATATCTCAACGGCTGTTTACAGTCTTTGGTTTCACGTTTGACCACTTCTCCCATATCCTCTGTTGGGTTTGTATCTATACAGAGCAAGTCTTTAGAGAGGAATTCACCCTTGCCTCGATCGATCTGCATTTCTTGACATGTTTTTCCAATAAGTATAAATGATGGATCACTTAGTTCTTGTTGGCTAGAAATTGTTCTCGGTACAAAAGCTCGACCCACTCTTGGTTTTTTCAATAGGTAATCATCCACATTAATGTGAATCTTGGATCGTTTCTTTACAGTTTTCTGTTCTTTATTAATTATTTTATTTGGATAAGGGTGTTTGAATTGCTTCGAAAACTCTATAATAATTTGAGAGAGTCGCTGAAGAGGATTATCTTTTAATTGTATAACATCAGTCTTGAAATATAAAATAAATTAGTAACGAAACATATTTTTTTTAGCAACCTCGGTATTTTAATACATTTTTAACCATTATTACCTTAAGTCCTAATGCTGAAGACGGAAAACCAATTATACGGTTTGTCACCAGACGCATGTCCGGGAGGATAACACACGGTACTTTCTTAGTTGCGGCCATTATAATTAAATAATTTGCTATCACACTGTTAGCTACGTCTGCGGCCACTACACAACAAGCTAATTGATCTTTTTCAATCGATCTGCTGATTTCATTAATTCCCATTTTGAGAATTAACCTGTTATTCAATTTAAAAACAATAATTACATTTATAGAAATCATATTAAATAATTTTAAATGTGTTCAAATTTACCTTTGTGCCTTTAGATTCGGACTTAAAACCTTGTGTTTTTTTGAGAGCTCTTTAATTTTTTCTTTTCGAATCAACAAAGGTAAATTTTTTAATGTAGACCAATTTACTTTGAGTTTTCCGTTTTCTTTTAAGATTGTTCTGTAAATATATACCAATAATTATACACTGTATAAAATAAAAATTCGGTCGTTCGCAATAAATAGATAAATTATAAATCATATTAGTGTAACATAAAATATTTTACTATTTCATACATAACATAGTAAGCAACCTACAGTTTTAGATCAAAGGATTTTCTCACAAAAAAATTAGTTTTAATTGCCCCAGCACAAAATTAATAATAATTCAATAATGTGTTAAAACAATTTTTTTACAAATATTTTATGGACAAAATTTAGACAGGATTCCATGTCTTAAAATATTAATCAAAAAATATTGTTAAATCATAATGAAAATGTTTTCAATACTTGTAATATGAAACCAAAACAGACCTCTTGTTGGCATTGATGATTTTAAGAAAATGACAAAACATTAATTAAGTATGATAGCTTAGTCATCTTTTTAGCTACGAATGTGTAACAGATCACAGCATTAACTTAGTTTTGGAAATGTTGCATCAAATGTATATTATTTTAAACGAGGTATAAATAGACTGATATACCTTGTTTTAAAAAATATTAAAAAGCTTTAATAACAAAATTTCAAACATTATAGTTGCAATTCTGTTAATAACTTTATAAATTTTATTTATACGTAATTATTGCCATTTACTTCTCCATTTCGTTGACTAATGTTTTTGAATTGTCTGAATCTAAAAGTGGCCTGTAAAATATACATATATGAAAACTATATAACTATTAAGTACAAATCTCTAGATTTACCAAAACTTCTCGTATGGATCTGCAATAATGAACCTTGGTCTTTCGTTTTTTTTTATTATACCCTTTTGCTTCAATTTATCCTCTCTTAATGTAGTCATTATAGTCACAATTTAACAAAATATTTAGTTGAAACAATTATTTTTTTTTAGTAGAAGTAACTGAGTTTTTTTTTAAACATTGAAAAGTAAGAATTTACAGTTCGTTACGTACTACAAAATTTGAAACTCGTAAGCCGTATGTACTATGTAGTATGTTTAATGATAAAAGATAAAGTTATGTTATCGTGGTATGATAACAGATTACCAAATAAATAGGTATGTCAGTGCTATCTGTGTTATCAATTTTTACTTAGTGGTAGTCAGTTTAAATTTGTAAGAAATCTGAATTCTAAAATACACAGGCACACAGCTACCCTTAAAAATGGAGTGACGTTTACCAAAATGCATTAATTCAATTAATATCCACTTTAACTACACAAAAAATTGATGTTAAACTGCATAGTTGAACATAATTTTATTTGAATTATTTTTAACATGTGAAAAGTTAATGAAGTGCAACTTACCGTTTTTTCAATTAAACATTAAAACTATGTCATATATATATATATATATTATATTGTATAAATTTATACAATATATACATTTTATATTAGTAGAAATATATATTTTCTCAAATCCTTGTGGTTCCTGGTAATAAATAATTTATAACAGCAATTTCTTTGTGATTTTTTTAAAGGTTTCAAAATTAAAACTGGTTAAATACTTTTTTCTTGAGTAAATATTTTCTAGTTGCCATAGAGTATGCCGCTATGCCGCTGTTTCAGGTCATAGGACTGATATGCAGCATAATATTTATGTCTCGTTATTGGGTCCCAACATACGTTAAGACTCATCTCATTATCATAAGACCGTCCAATAAATAGGACTTAATATTCATTATCTGCCTTAAAATTTGCTTACACCAGATCAAGGCTGGTAATGTGTTATGAATTCAAACTGTAACTATTTATTAATTTTTAGAATTTAATATATTAATTATAATACTAAAAATACAATTTTAAGCACATTGTAGCATTCACAATATTTTTTATCAATATGCAATACTCCTACCATCCACAGATTCATATAGACGTGTTTAATATAATGTTATTTTATCACTTTCAGTTATAATGACTTCTAGAAACCTGTACTCTTCCCAATCCCAATATGCTTTGTCCTTGCTATGCCAGAGTCAGGGTCCACTGTAGTTACATTTTTTTTTTTTATAATAATTGTGAGGTTTTTTTAAAGTATTCTATTGAACATAATAGATATTTCAGTAAAGTTTAGTAAATAATAAAAAATAATTAAAAAATTAGAAAATTTACTTTGTAAAAATTATCAACTTTAAAAAAAACAAACATTTAATTAGCAATAATTTTTAATATTAAAAATTTACAGAACATATAAAATCTGAAACTATACATAAAATACTTAACTTCGGTTGTATCTATTTCCCCACCCTCTTCGGTGGTCATCTTTGTATTCATCGCGTGCATTTAGGCGCTGTCTTTCATTTTCTTCTTCAGCTTCGGTTATTATATCTTTTTTTTCTTCTTCCTCTATCTCTGAAGTTTCGGCTGTTTGTTGTAAGCATTTAGTATTTTCTGCTGTCGGTAAGTGCCACCTATTACAAAAAAATGTACATTAATTATTTTTTACCAAAATCATTATTCGATTATCATTACTACTACTCACACTCCATCATTAAACCTCTTCTGGCAGAATTCTTCTACTGTCATAGTAGGTAAACTTGGATAACCGGCACCAAATACTTTTTTCTGCAATTCATTTTTAGTAATAATAATCGGCATCAGCGGTTTACTTTTTATTTTTAACCCTTTAGCTTGGTCTGGGTTGTCTTTGTTCTCATGTTTAAGTTTGAAGTACAATATTCTCATTTCAGCTTGAAGCGAATCAATTTCTTCTAGAGCTTTACCAATGTTATACTTAAGTAAAGAAGTTACATATTTTCTTTTTATTTCTTCGTCGACATTGTTGGATTCATTCTGTTCCTTCAGCAGTTGTAACTGAGACTCCATTAGTTTTTGTTCTTTGTAGCTTTTAATTTTTTCTGCTCTTCTACGAGCCATAAGTGAAAAGTCCATTGCTGACTGAGTAGTCGTCTCTTCGGATTCGCTGTACTCAGAAGGTAACGTGAGATCTGATATACCGTAATCTTTACACCTATAACAAACACTGTTGTAGTAATGTGAATACATAACAATAATTTAATGGTTTGCATTTTCTAGTAAATGCAGTGGCGTAGCGAACCTATGTGCGATGGTGGGATCGCACCTCCCTCTACTGAAATTATGAAAATTAAAAATAAATTGTTTCTATTATTATTACGAAATACCATGTTTTATAAGAATGAAAGTAAATTTTTTTTATTTTACACCAAAAAATAAAAATTAATACAGTTAAATGTGTCGTTCTGCGTTCATTGTAAAAGTGAATTACCTCCTTGTAATTGAATTTTGAAATAACGAGCTTTTTGTAAATTAGTGTGTAGGAAAAACAATACAAGTATTCATTCAGCGTTTTCTATTTTTTAATTTATTGGAGTTGCTTATCTTTTATAATGAAAGATATGACTAAATGTGACCCCATTAAGCAAAAATATGAATATTTTAAAAGCTTGGGAGTTATACCACTTTTACAATGAACTACTCAAATTTGGTCTGTATATGAGTAAAGTATAAAATGCAACTAAATATCACTCCGAGATGTGCTGATGGGGGTTTTATAAATGTATGTATATATAAGTTGTAGCACCTGAAATGAGCGACAATATTTACTGCACTGTAGGGAGTGTTTTGATAAGATTGATTGTCGTATGTTATAAAAATGTATTTTTATTGTTATTAGGCTACACAATATGCTCCCTTACTATTAGACTAGTAAGTACGGACCCGTTTCAAACACAAACGCAGAAAAATAAGAAAAGAGAAACAATATGGATTTGAAACAATTGACAACAAACCAGATAATAAAAAATGTTTTGTACGCCAATAGACTGGAGTAGATTAGAGCGTAGCAACATACTTGGAAAATATTACCAAGATAGACCACAGTATGCTCAGACTAGGAAAGATAGAGTAAATTTCATAGAAACCGCAAAGGAAAGCAAAATATAAACTACTAAAATGTTTACCGTTGTAAATAATCTCTGAAATAAACTTCTGCTGTTTTCACAACATCTAATCGATTTCCATTGTTTGTAAGTTTTAAGGCTAGAGATCCCAACATAAATGGTAATAACATGTATTTAATATCTGAAGTCGGTACTTCATCTATAGTTTCGTTATTGCTGTACAGTCCAGCAGCGGACACAAGTTGTGTAGCATACTCCAACATTTTCATGCATTTTATTATTTTATACTAAAAAAAACGTAATTGTAATAATTAATATCTTATGTATGTGTTGGTATACACTTATTGTTAACTTAAAATAACAAACTTGAACTCCGGATTCCTTGGCTGGTTCTGTAGAATCACAAATGCTTTCGTACGATGTTAAACCTTGATCAAAACATTCTGACAATGTTAAATTTTGAAATTCAACCGATGCTGCCATTACTTCAAAATGTTGTGTACAGACTATAGTCTGTTGTATATAATTGTATTTATATTTTCCGTTATTACTTATTACTTTTATAGTAAGTAAAGTAAAATATTTAATTTGCGATTTTTTAATTTTGTTATTATATGGGATTTTCCGTTATCACTATAATTCGTTATCTGCAAATACTATATACAGGATGACCAAATAAATAGGTATGCGGCGACTTGTGTTATCAATCATTTAAAGTATGGAAGCCGGTATTCTCTCGTAAAAAATACATAGCTGCCCGAAAAAACCCACAGCCATTTATTGTTTATCACCAGTTGCTAACATACCTATTAATTTGTTCATGCCCCATCTCATTTACAGTAGTCAGTATTTGTTATGAGCCAAATATAAGCAATATAATTAAAGTTACAGCCTTCAGTAAAACTAAATAATGAAAAAAAAATGTTTTTAATAATTAATTCAAATTTAATTTCAATTTTCAGAATCCAGAATTTTCCTAATCGTATTTTCATTATTATTAAGAGGACATTATTCAGTAATTATCCAATTTTCTAGCGTTAATTCATACCTATACAGAATGCGTTTTACTCGCTCCGTGATGATTTTAGAGAAAAACTACTTGTAACGAAAACGAAAGTTGACAAGATTTTGGAGACAATGCCATAACTTTTTTTTTTAAACCTAATATTTAACATTCAGTAAAAACAACTAGTTTTTACTTTTTTTTAAATAACAAACTTCTTTGTACGTTATTATTTTCAAACTCGGATATGATATTGTCTCCGACATATTGTTATCTTTCGATTTTATATTAAGTGTTTTTGCTCTAAATTCACTATAGGGCGAGTATAACGCATTCTGCGGTGATATGTTTAAATAACATTTGTTTTTTAATCACTGTCAAGAATGCTGTGATATGTTACCAAAAAAGAGTTCTAATTACTGAACTAATAAAATATTTACACACCACAGTTTAACCTTCAAATTAATTTTTTACAAAAAAATGCCTATACCTAACTTCTTAATAAATAGGAGGTATAACGTCCTCTTAAGACTCAAGTTATTTTCAATATCCAGTCATATACAATTATTTCTTTTCGTTCAAAATGTTTTAAATAAATACAATGTCTAGTCCTAAATTTACGAGCGAAGAACAATAATAATTATTATTAACGGTCCAGTTATAATTTTGATAACAGCAAGTGTAATGATGTTGGTGTATGTTCTAATGCCAGTACGTATTATTTTAAGGAGCAGAACATACACTCTTATACATCGACAATAATTATTAACGAAATTAAACAACTAATTATTTTAGCCCATTGGTGAAATTAGTGTGGGTCATTCGCTCTTATAAAAAATATACCTACATCGAGTAAAAAGAAAATTAGAGCTACAATAGCATAAGAGCTTTTGTATTGGATATCGTTATTCGTCAGAGACACCAAATTGTCCCTCTTTAAATAAGACGTGCGGAAAAAAATTAATTACGTCAAAAATTGTTTAAAAAGTATTCTAATATACTACTTACTATTAATAACTACTTTTTGTTCTGTTACAGCTATAGTGAAATTTAACAAGGATGTTATGGCACCGGTATCTTTGAAGGCCGTCACCCTGTCGACGGTTAATTGTATAAGCGACTGTGTTCAGGAAAAGGCCTCGTTTTAAACTTATATTATTCGAAAGCTTATAAAAAGACCACAATAAGAATAACACTGCACCGGCAATAAAGTGACGACCACGAGATACCGAAACTGCCCAAAACCCTTACTAGCGCGATTTAAAAAAGGTAGAGTTTAGCTAGATGGACTTTTTAAATTATCCATCTCGTAGTAAGTTATTTAATGTCAAACTGAAAATAAAATTATAAACAATCTAATAGTCGACTATGCGTTGGAGCCGTATTGTATGTTGAGGGACGAACTCATTTAAAGCACTCTTATTAATATATCCCTAATACTATTTACTTAAAAAAAAAAAAAAAACGACATATAATATTTTAATATTGTCCAGCCACAAAAAGTAAAAAAAGCTATTCGACGTATATTCATTTCAAATTTGAAATACTGTTTAAGACTGTTGACCCACTCATTTTAACGATATGAAATACAAATAAAATGGTACCTAGATGACACGAAAATCGGGAAGAATAAAACTATAAAACTTTATTATTGTCTTTTTTCGTATATTTAATAATGTCAACCGAAAAAGCTTTCCTAATGTAAAAGTTATAATCGATTTAATAGTAATATTATTTTATCTTAATGTTTTAGATAAAAGTGCAGTCGTAAATCTCGTTTCGTGGTATTGAGACTTACATTATGTAGTGATGCAATACTATGATTTATCAATAATTATGATGATGATGATCGTCGTAATGCGTTTTGCTGTGACATAAAAAGCGACATCTACTATGGCGGCATTTCCTTTTGTAATTTGTATCAATAGTGCTGTGAGGCGTGAGCGGTGAGCTGTCTGGTCTGGTCGATCGCCACGAGGTTGTCGCGCGTCATCGCCGTTTGTCGCCACTCGTCGCTGCGGTCGCCCACATTTTAGGTTGGCAACACTTCCCGTGCTTGCAGCCTGGACGGTGTTTTCAGTTTTTTGTCCGGTGTTTTGGCAGTATACCAATCGAATGTCCGCACGAGAATACCTCAGGACAGCCTTCGTTTTGCGGCGGTTGGACACTTGGACGATTTTGTGTTATACGTTTAGTTAATGCACATTTCACACACTCTGTATATACACCATCATACATATAGACAGACCGCGCTGGCTTTATTTTCTTTGCTTTTCCATTTGGCTAAATAATTAATAATATAATAATTATAATATTTTGTTGACCAACGACGGTTCGAGTACCGCATATGTGATTAAAGGCAGTAGCGTTAACAGAAGCAGCTGAGCGAGTGTAAGCAGTCGATTGTTTTTTTTAATTTTATTTAGGCGGCAGATGAGGCGGTAGTTTCTATTTTGTTGACTCGTGTTTTTCGACCCAATTTTTGACACCGCACACTGTAATTTTTGTTGGCAACGTCCCGAAATCCGTAATGAATAACGATGTTTGCACTTTTGTCGATTCCGTAAAAGCGGAATTGTGAATTTTGTTCTGAGGTCGTGTTCGAACTTTCAAGTCCGACTTTGGACTTTTAAACAACTAACAATATCAATATTTTTTATCTCAACGTTAAAAAACCGATCCGTCAAGTCAACCAATAATATCGTAGCCAGTTTTTTCCCATTATTGTTATCGTATCAAGTAAATTATCGAGCCACCACCACCGTTGTTGCAATATTGAACTTGTACGTGTATGCTAGTTATAGTTTTTAAATTATTCTTTGGTCATTAATTTGTTTAGGTCGCGAGTGAACTTGTGTCGTGTGCGGGACCTGTCAAAAATGTTGGCCAACGCAAATCGATTTTCGTCGACCCTAAAAGGATTCCAAAGGTATTTAAATATTATATATTGATTTCAGTATTTATTATAGGGAAGTTGCACAATATGAATTTATACAATTTTAATTCAAAACGTAGGTATTAAGTAAAAATAACTTTTCGGCAAAACCTGTTAAATCATATTAATTTTTAGTAGAGATATGAATTTTGTTAAAGTTTCTGTTTGTTTAATTAAATATTATTGTAGGGATTGAAAACGTTACCAACTCACAATTTACATTATTTGTTAATACTACAAAAAGATGTATTGATATCATAATAGTATGATATTCTGCTATCTTTATTACTATTGTCTATTCATAAAAAAAAAAAAAAAAACTAAATTTCCTACTATTATTTTTATTAAGTACTTAGTAATATGTTAATTTATATTTGTCTATATTTATTATTGTAAGCTTTGGGTTACAGTAAATTGTCTATTGGCAAACTTCTCTTTTAAAGTTCAAACTACATTAAAAAAAAAAAAAAAAAATTAATGATATCTGTACATTATACATTTTTACACTCACACTGGAAGTGTAGAGCTTATGACTGTCAACATTTATTTGAATTTTCTAAAGTAATATATTGTTTGAATTAGTGTCGAGGTAAAAGGGTTAGGTTAAGTGTAAAACGTAAACTTAGCTTCTAAGTGACTAAAGTGTTTGTGAATATATCTAAAGAAGTTATCATTGATTGAGCAGTAATTTTTGTTGTATCAAACTATAGATGCTCAAATTTAAGCCAATCAATCTTAAAGGAATTTTCAATATTGAATAACAAATGCTCACCGTATATGAGTGCAGTCTTATAGTTGAGTGTTGACATTTAACCTTCTGTTATATACATTTGAAAAAAAACATTTTTTTTTCTTTCTAAGATTCAAACTGATAACCAAAGAACTGGTTATCTTTCTAATGTCGTTATAATTTCTTGTTTTCAACTACATAACAAAGGTCATAAATAACAAAAAAATCCAATTGTTTAATAGCCTACTCTACTATCGGATTATAGTATGGAAACTTTAAGATTATGCCTATCAAGTTCACATTAAAAAGAAAATGATTAAGATTTATGACATTTTATTAAAATAACAAGTATCAATAACATACTTGAAATATTTTATTCGAGACATATCTTTAATATGCAATCTAGAAAGAATTGATGTATGAGATATGTAAGTGTGTATTATGTATTATGTACGTATTACTACGTAATCTTTTCTTAGGTTTTTTTAATATAATTTTGTTTTTATAAGTTACTGATTTGTTTTATTTCTCAGCAAACTGGGGGTTGGTTCCTCCGGGCGGACAATCGTTAGGGGGAGTGGTGAAATGGCCACCCATCTCTTGGGAAGAGCGTTAAGTCAAAATAAAGTAAAAAATACAAAAAACTGTCAAATCTATACCATCTGAATTCCAATTTGAGGGAATAAGACCTAAAACGTGAATAAGAAGCAATATTTTTTTTAAAATTTAAAACAATAAGTTTCAATAAAAGCATTAAGTTGTGTAAAAATACTAAACTTTTATTTTAAAGTTGGTTTTTACGACATATTTGTATAGTTTGTTGGCAAATTTAACTTTGGAGATTAATGAGTTAATTTTTGTTTGTGGAGTATTCTAAAATATAGATTAATCTTTATTTAGTTTTTTAGGATACCAAAAAAAATTTTTTATTGATAGTTAATAACTGAAAGTCTAAAGTTTAATTAATAATGGTTATAATAACAAGATAACTAGATAACTTTTTAATTAAAGTAACAAAAATAAAATATTTTCATTTCAGCCTGTGTTGTCGAGGTTTTGGATCCGTTGCTGTACCTAAAATTAAGGATTTCACCATCAAAAACGAACCTCTATTAGGTAAGAAAAATGTAAGTGCATCTGCTCTTATTCATTCATTCATAAAAGTCGTCGATCAAACGTAAAATATAGATCCTTGTTGAATGTAAACAATTAATAGTAAAAAAACATTACTTATTGTATACATTGTTGGTATTTGGTATCAGTTAATTAAAGCTATTAAATTATCTATTTGGGGTCAGAGAAGCATTTCAATTGTAAATTTATCAAAAATATATATTAATAATTTTACGTATTCCGAGGTTGTTTCTCATTGTGTAGGTAATTAAATGTTTGAGTGATTGACTAATTATTGATATTATAAATGATTTACTACATTATACATGTTTAATAAGAGAAATGCAAATACTTAGTAATATTTGTTTACTTTATATTTTTTTATTTACATAATAATTTTCTTTTAGTTAGTTATCTAGTGTTGCAAGTTTGTACTAGTTGAAATTACATGCTGTGGTTTAGTTGTAGGGTATTGTTTGTTTGTACCACCTATTGCATGTGCTCAAAACAAAATTGTGTACTTGATCTCCGTGGCACCCAATTTTTTTTATGAGTACATACATACAATATAGAAAAGTGATTGGAGAGTTTGCAAAGTGCATACCCTTACTACTACATCACTGATTAAGTTGATTTTTTATTGATGAGTTTGTAATAATGTTGTAGAATACATGCAGGGCAGTAAAGAACGTCAAGAGATAGAAGCTGAATTAAAAAGACTGTCGAGTAATGTGGAAGATGTGCCGATTATTATTGGAAATGAAAAAATCCGAACCAAAGATGTTAGGTACCAAGTTATGGTATGTATATAATATAAATATTTATAAGCTTTATTATATTCTGCAAATGTAGTCATGTCAAATCGATTGTCACATGTTATACCATACCATTTTACAGCCCCATAATCACGGAAAGAAAATCGCTAAATTCTACTATGCGTCGTCCGTAAGTATTTATAATGAATGGGTGTTATAAGACGCATATAGAATGTTATTTCTATGGTTTAAAAAACAAAAAAAAACACCTACATTAGGATTTGGTGGCAAAAGCAATTAAAGTAGCAACAGAAGCTCAACTAAAGTGGGATGCAGTCCCGATCGAAGAGAAAATTGACATCTGGCTAAAGGCTGCAGATCTTATGGCTACTAAATATCGAATGAAGTTGAATGCAGCGACCATGTTGGGACAGTCAAAAACAGTCGTACAAGCAGAAATCGATTCGGCTGCAGAGTTGATTGATTTTGTCAGGTTAATAATTATTTTTGGTTCATTTCAATGCATTTCGTATTAAGTAAAAAGAAGTTTTAAGCGCATTACTAAATATACTTTTTTGGTTAAATTCTACATTTTTACACGTTTTTGTTTTTTTGAAAATTTTGTATTGTCACTATTTTTATTCTGGTATTCATTGTTGGCCATCTTTGTATAGCAGCTGTGTTAAAGTTAATAGCAAAAAGCATAGACTAAAGTCGTAAAACTTTTTTGTTTTTTAATTAAAAAAATTGCCGCTTTTTTACTATATTAAACAAGCTTTAAACTCGCTAATGAATTAATTTTATATTTTGTGCTTAGTATAAACGTTTTTTTTCATTGTATTAATAAAAATTTAAAAAAATTACCAAAGAAAATGTATTAAATTACAAACTACTTATTACACAATTTGAGGTATTTAATTGCAACTTACATTTTTATTTTTAATCTTTAACCAAAAGACAATTTAAATACTGTGAATTTCATTTTGTAAGTTACAGTTTATAGTTTTCAACTATGGAGGTTATTTTAAGATACTTACTCACTAAAAAATGTCTTAAGACCATATTTAAATGCAAGTTGCACCAAAAAAAAAAGTTTATTAAATGGACCTTAATTTTATGGATTTTGTTTCTAATATAATATGTTAAAAATTTTGAGTTAATTAGATTTATATTATTATTAAGAAAATTCTGTACACCAAATTTACTTTTTTTTCTGGCCTTGCGAGTTTTTCTAGACTTTTTATTTTTTTAAAACGTCTTTATAGTTGTAAAAATGCACAAAATTAAAAGTGAGAATGTATTATTGCTTGAAAAAAAATAAACAAAAAATTCTACAGAAGTTCAAAGTTAAGCAAACAATAGTTTAAAAATTTAAAAAAATCAAAATCACTATTAATTTAAAAATTAATGTTAATACATCTCACATAAAAAACTCTACAAAAAAGTATTTTTTTACACCCTTTAGATAATTTAAAAATATGTATACATTATATATTTTACAATGTATTTATAAATACCTATACATTAAAAAAGAAAATTGTAATTGAAAATTTAGTTGAGTAATTCAAATCTGCCTATTCTTACACCTATGTTGATTCTATGATTTTAAATGAATAATCTTTCTGCAGGTTAAACGCATTTTTTGCTAAGGAATTGACAAAATATCAACCAATTAGTGAAAATAAAAACGTCACATTAAATAGCTTACGTTATCGTGGTCTCGATGGATTTGTCGCTGCTGTATCGCCGTTCAACTTCACAGCGATTGGAGGAAATTTGGCCTATACTCCCGCGTTAATGGTAATTTTTGTAATCCAATAAACCATAACAGTTCATGTTTTAAATATTAGTTTAAAAACTAATAATAATTCATATATAAAAAATATAAATATATATTTTTTATAAAATAATAGTAATTAAATATTTTTTAAAACAATCGTAACAATTTTTTTAAAAATAATTATAGGGATGTTCAGTCTTGTGGAAACCATCAGATACGGCTTTGTTGTCTAACTGGGTTATTTATGAAATCATGACCGAAGCCGGAGTTCCAGCTGGAGTGGTCAACTTTGTTCCTGCTGACGGTCCTGTATTTGGTGACACAATTACAGCATCTCCTTATTTGTCGGGCATCAACTTCACTGGATCTGTACCGTATGTGGATGTTTGTACGTATAATTATTGTTTTAATTTAATATTTGTATTTTTTTTTATCAAATGTAGAACCTTCAATCGGCTATGGACACAAGTGGGACAGAATATAAATAGTTACAAGAATTTCCCGAGATTGATCGGAGAATGTGGCGGTAAAAACTATCATTTTGTCCACCCATCGGCTGATGTAACGTCCGTTGTTAATGGTACTATTCGGTCATCGTTTGAGTACTGCGGTCAGAAGTGTTCGGCTTGTTCTAGAATATACGTTCCACAATCTTTATGGCCTAAAGTAAGTTTTATTTTCTTGTTATTATGCAGATAATGAAGATGTATTTGTTTAATTAGATCAAAGAAGGATTACTTGAAACTCGTAAAAAACTTAAAATCGGCGATGTTAGCGAATTTGACTCATTCGCTTCGGCAGTCATTGACGATAAGGCTTTTAACCGTATCAGCGGATATATTGAACATGCCAAGAAATCTCCCAATTTAGAAATTATTGGCGGCGGACAATATGATAACAAGTATTTTAACAATATTTATATCAGTTTTTTTTTTTTATATATAATTCTACTATTTTATTATAATTAACTTATAGAATAGGATACTTTATACAGCCGACAATAGTGGAAACCAAAGATCCTTTGGATAAGATTATGACTGAAGAAATATTTGGGCCAGTTCTGACTGCTTACGTGTACAAAGATTCGGAAGTCGATAAGACAGTCGACCTAGTAATGAGTTCAACACCTTATGCTCTGACCGGAGCAGTGTTTTCTCAAGATAAGTATGTTTCTATTAATTTGATTTGTATATTAGTGAATACAAAACCTAACCTACTTTTATTTCTCTACTTTTATTTTAAAGAGATTTCTTGAAAAAAAGTCTCGAAACACTCAAGTATTCAGCTGGTAACTTCTACCTTAACGATAAATCTACGGGCTCTGTTGTGGGACAACAACCATTTGGTGGAAGTAGAATGTCAGGTTAGTATTTGGGTAAAGACATGGATTATTAATAGAATATCTTTTTTTTTTAAAAGCCTACCGCAGTTTTTTTTGGCTATGCATAAACCAGCCATTATTTAAAAAATATACTGGTTATAATTTGTGACTTGAAGAAGCATCCAAATAAATACAATAATTTATTTAGTAAAAAAAAATTAAAATGCTACATAAATTATGAAGTTGCTTTTCAATTCAATAAAAGAACCATTCGAAATAATTTATTATTAAATAATATTTAATTTAAATATATTTTTATTTGTCCGTTTTAAATAACCTGTTATTTAAAATTGTTTTAACTTTTATTTTTTTGATATCTTGTTGCCACTTATTCAAGTAAGAAATGGTTTAGTTAAAATTAAAAATATATTTAAGTAATAATTATATTATTACTTAAATTTATTTAAGTAATTAATTAGTATATTTTTTAAGTATTTATTTATTTAAATAAAAACAGGAAATTTATATTTATAATAATTTTAAATATATTTTTAGGAACTAACGATAAAGCCGGCGGACCACACTACATTTTGAGGTGGACATCTCCACAATCAGTGAAGGAAACATTTGTGCCTATAACCGAATGGAAGTATCCTTACATGAACTGAAGCATGCTGCGTTATAGAAACAAACGAAAAGAAGGATATAGTGTTTTGCCTGGTATTGAACTATGGCAAAACTGTGATACTGTTTAAAATCCCATTTAATACCAGACGTGTATTTCGGATTCCTATATATATATAAAATTTATATTAACCCACAAATAGTACTTGTACGTTCTCAATTGAGTGCGTTGAGTAATCAAATTCTTTTAATATTTACTTTTATAATTTTATTTATTTTTAATTGTTGTTGTAATTTTATTTGACGTTTACATTCTTTATCTTTAATTTCCAAATAATAGAAGCCTACATACTTGTTAAGCAACCTCGTCATTACCTTTTAGACATAGTATTTTTGACAAAATTTGCAGTATTTTGAAATTGTTAAATTTTTACAAGTTCATCATTGAGTACTAGGTGTAAAGAAAAAATATGTACCTAATAATAGTATTTAAATGCATTATTGTTAATATTAAATTGTGTATAATTTAGTTGTTGGTTTTGTAAATTATTGATATTAACCTTTACCAAAATTTCCATTCTTTGTCTAGTTATTTTTTTTAACTGTTCGTTGTGTTTCTCTAATAACTCGTTAAGGCAAAACTAGTTAGTTATTAGTTACATCAATAATCCATGAGCGTATTTTATTTAATAAATCCTTTGAAGTCAAATGTCACGTGAGAATATAGTGTTTATTTTGTTTGTGCTAAATTGGTGTCCCGTGTCCCCTTTGACAAAAATATCTTTGTCTTCGGTCTTGCCGCTGTTTAATATAGAATAGCATCTGGCCTTCAACCTATATTTTCTTTAAATATTATTATTTTGATCATTATTTCAACAAATTGTTGACAATCCGCCAAATTGGAAAACAGTCAAGATGACTAATGTTACTAATATATAATAAGATTATGTGAATAAGACGAGTGTCAACAATCATCGGAGTGCTTTCAAAATAGTCTCGGACACACTTGGTCTATCTGATGTCATTATCGATCCTATCGCTGAGTCAGAATCCTTTGTATAATTGGATTATTATATCCATAAGTACTAATTTTTTTTCAAATATAATATAGTATTTAGTATAGGATATATTAGTAATTTTTGTTAGCTGTTTAAATTTGGATCATTTTTAAATTTAAAATGTATTCAAAATGTGAAGTAGGAGGTATTAGGTAATCTATAAATTCTACCTATATATTGTACATTTATCTATTTTTATATTTATAATTTTAATAATAATAATAACAACAATTAAATAGTATTTACTTATAACATTTAGTTGTGTAGGTACAGTTTGTAAAAAAAAAGGTACCATACATATTACACTTATATTTATGGTTAATTCGGTGTTTATCACTAATAGCGTATGAAGGGTACAGGGAAAAAAAAGAAAAATCACTTTTTTAAGTTTAAGAATACAAATTTAAAATTGATGTTTAATAGATGTTAAAAAATCAATAGTTAAAACAAATGTTATGACACCAAGATCGCCATTTTGAAAAAGTGATTGTTCTGGTTTTCCCCTGTATCTTTCATATTACAATGGTACATTTTTTTTTTAAGAATATTAATTTACACATTGTTCCAGGAAAACGTTTAGTACATAAAGCTAGGTTTGTTAGGTTTGCAAAATAATTGGCATTCAGTCACAAATAAAAATTGTATTCTATCATTAACGGGACAAGACTGTAATAATATGTAAAACATAATTTCGATGCCTTAATAATGTCAAGTGCAGACTTAAACTTTTCTTTTTAAGAAAGTGTTCAATTGCTTAAGTTTGGGTTATACAATTTTGAGCGTATGAATTCTGTTTTTTTTTTTAAATAAAAATAGTTTTCGAGCTTTCTAGTCGTAAACGTTTAACTTAAACTAATTCGGTAAAACAACAATTAAATAATAAATTTGGTCGAACATTCGAAGCACCAATCAAATTTGCATAAATAAATAATAATCAATAAATATTACCTTTAATTATTATAATAATTATGTATAGAATTGTTATTTTTATTAAGATAACAACAATTATTATAATAATTAAAAAATACTCAAGTTTTAATAATTCTTTAGACATTTTAAATTAGTGCTTTGAATTGAGAAATCTTTCAAATGATTTTTTTTTTGGTGGAAATGAAGATTGCGAAAGGCATTACACTTAGTCGAGTTCTTTTTGGTTTAGGCGTACTAACAATACATATGTAGGTCTAACACTAACGAAATATAATAAATGTAATCACTAATCTATGTTGATATATCACTTATAACTGAACATCAGCGTCTAATTTATATATTCCAGTTTAATGTTATAATAATAATATATGTATTTATAAATATAGACTTTATAATATAGTTTCAACAAATACAGTCCGCGCGCTAGACTCTTTGAATAATTGTACCCGGAATAGACATTGTGCGGCGCCGTCGTCGTTGTCAAAGTTGTCTGTCGTAACAAAACGCCGAGTTGTCCTGTCCGCCGTCGTCTCGCGTGTACGGCGGACCCCGGCCGGCGTCCATGTTGGCCATGTTGACGTTTTGGTCGATCGCGGACGGCGGCGGCGGCGGCTGTCGGTTATCGGCACTATTATTGTTGTTGTTGTTGATTAGCTGACGGTCGACCGGCGTCGGCAGCGTCGCGGTAAACGGCAACCCGCCGTCTGCTGCGACTTTGTCCGGTCGGCCGCCGCCGCCGCCGTCGTCGTCTACGTCCGACGGTTTCCACTTCATGGACTTCCATTGTCCCGAGTTGGCGCTGCTCGGCCTCCGCGTCACCGACATGAGCACCGCCGGCTGTCCGTAACCCGATTCCAGGTCGGCCAACTTGCGCTTCGTCACCGGCCTGAACGTCCGCTTCGACAAGTTGACGAACGAATTTCTTCTGCCAAACGGCACTCCGCCCGTGCTCGACTTACGCCTGTGTTGCACGCTGCTTGAAAGAAAGAAAAAAAAAACAGAGTTAGTGTCATTAAAATATGTGTTGGTGTACACCTGGAAAACGATAGGGTGCCAAGAACGGTATTAACATAACACCTACGTATAGCCACTTACTACTGCCGTTATTATGCAAAGGCGGCGACCATAATAAACCGGTAGAATGATTGTTCGAAGGAATAAGTGAATCGCTAAACTCGCAGAAAGGTCCACATTTTCTAGTTGTTCGTGAGAGACAAAAATTAAATGTTGACATGACAATTTGACGTTTGCACAGTCGGTTTTGACTCCCTTCTGCAGTAAATGCTGTATTTACACGTGCTCAGTACAAAGTGATAATAAAATCGTAACTGATAAATACGGACAAGTCCCGTTTTTGCAGTTAGCGATTTAAGTATTCGACTAGGTAAATCCAAAGAGATTTATTTAGTTTTGAGAGTTGAAAACTGGAGAAAGATGGTTCAAGATAATAACATAGGACGAAAACTTTTTTAAAATATCAGAGTCTTAATGTAAATAAAGATATTTGTTAAAAACTGAGTAAAACGTAAAAATCAATAATTAGCCAATTAAAAGGAGGTCCAGGAGACGATCGCGGATCGCTTCAGAGTTCAGTCTACAGGCAGCAGCGGAGCGAACAACACGTGAGTCGTGACCAGCACACAAGATAGTCCTGAAAATGAAAGTCTTCCGAAACGTTGGCGAAGCCAATTTGTAAAAATAGGTCTAACTGTAAACCGTGTAAATATTGCAAACAAGCCCCGTATAAACTTTAATCAATTTGTAAGATAATAACTGTACACTACTTAAACATCATTGATTAAATACGATCTGTATTTAATCATGTCTTATGTGAAATTTCAAAACAAAAAAAACAGTAAATATTTCAAATAATTTTGAACAAATAAAATTGGCTTAGTGCACATTAATTATACTTTTAAACTTTTTGTCATTCTAAGTCATCAGATGTAAAATTTTCATTTAGTAATAACTATTACTTATTTTTTGTTTTGGCACTCATGTGCGTAGCCCGTAATTCCTGATATCAATTCCTCATTTTTTTTTCACTAGTTATTTTAGTTTTTATCGAGGGACAACAGATCTTATTGGACAATTCGAATATGTATGGTAAATGGTAATAACAGCTGAACCAGCGAATTGTTTTTCAACTGGGGTTTTCGTTTGTTGGGAAAGTGAAAAAAAAAATGTATCACATTTAATTTTAACCCACGATTTATACAGCTCGATTGAAATTATAACTGTTATAACTGCTAGTTTATGATAGTTTATATGCAAATTCAATTTAAAATTGTTCCTTTAGAGCTTGTTATATAAACCCTATCATATTAGGTTGGGTTCGACAAGAAGTATTTATAGAAGACCCATTCACCTCGGCTACACTTGACTAGCTTTGTCGACAAATCGGCATGGTCTTATGGGCATTTTGTGGAAATGAAAGTTCGAAGGTTATAATATATGCTATGGTTCTTGGTAATGTTTATTTTTCTCCTTTGATATCACCAAAGTCAAACGTGGAAGCGAGTGGTTGTTTGGATATGTGTATATATATAGTTATCTGTTCTGTGACTTCAAAAGCAAACGTTGGGACGGTCCAAAACTAATAACTGTCCAAATAATTTTCCATTAACTGGAACGATATTTTCATTAAACGTTCGACCGTGTAGATTAAAAGAGCATACTGTACATCCGTCTTGACATATCACTCTTAATGGTAAGTTTAAACCGTTTGTTACATGTCAATATAATCCCACTATAATACACTATGATGCGGTCGAATAAACAAACGCAGAACTAGTAAAGTGTCAGGTAATAACAACATGTTCAATTAAAAAGGTTCGACTGCGTTGTTAATCCTTTGAATGTGACACATATATTTAATAGTGTAATAACGATTAAGCACTGAGAATAGCTTAAAGCCCCTTTTTTTAAATACCTTTCTTAAGGTAAGAAACGCACACAATTTTGGAGGTCGAAGTACATCTAAGCCCTCAAACAAATTGTATACTTGTAATATTTACAATTAAAAATGTATAAAATATTTGTACGCAGCATAGGTTGGCTAATTAGTTTTTTTTAGTTTCGCTAAGAAGCAGGCGCGGATTCAGGATGTCTGATTGGGGGAGGGGGGCATGAAATAAAATCAATAGAGATTATTAGGGTTTACTATGTTAACATTTTTTTATAAAGTTAAATATAGTATTATTACTATATATTATGTATACCTATAATAATTTTCACCAGTCTCTTTTTTTTTGAGATTTGGGGAGCCCTTACTCCCATGCCTCCCCCCCTTGTATCCGCGCCTGCTAAGAAGCTATTGTTTTTATTTATTTCTATTTTTTTTTCGATATTTGTGCCTACACCCTCAATATTTTAGTCTAATGGCCCGACTTCTTCATGTAGCAAGTCTATAGAACAGTTATGTATAGAAAAATATACCAAGAGCTTATAAATTATAAGGCCAAAAATAAAAATAAATTACCCACCCCCTCCCCTTTTAGATCAAGATAGAAATCCTAAAAGAATTCACATTTTTCATCTTAAATTTTACGGCACGCTATAATTTTTTTTGTAAAACCAAATTATTTATATTCGTATGGTAAATAATTTGTACTATCTACAGTTTTGCGTCGAAACGTTTAGTGAAAAGCGATTTTATTACTTTCTGTTGTGATATTCTTATAAACTCGTGACTTCTACGACTTTACTGTGCTGGCTTTTTTCTGTTAGAAATGTATAGCATTATATTTATCAGTGATTTTATAAACCACAACGGGCGATTTTTCATTAACCCGGCATACACGTATTTATACTAATTATGATTTACAGTCGACAATTTCCACCTGTGTTACTCGTTATTGAAGCGCATTATAGGCTGTTACACGTGAAAATGTTGATATGTTTTTCTTTGACATAACAACGGGTCGCTTAAATAATAAAACACATCGCTCTCCCTATAACAATAAAAAATATGTGTCGGCGTTGGCCCCATTCACGGCCAATATATCATTATTGTCCTCATTAGGTGTATATAGGATAGGTGCAAATATGAAATACATTTCGGCTGTCCCCCTTGCCACTGTGCATTCGGAGGGCTCTAAATGGGGTGCGTCGGGACGGGGTGGGAACGTGTTACATTTAATTTCCATTAGTGTGGGCAACGCTGTTAGGTTTAACGCGCCAAACCCGGCCATTACCCACATGCGTTCGGGGACTTCTGCAAAGTCAAACAATTAGCCTTTGTAATTAAATACGTGTGTGCGTGCGTGCTTCTTCCAAAGTATATTTATGCGATGAGTTCTGTTTTGGGATTTTCAAAAAGTTCAACTCGACGCGCAAAGTTTAATCTCCCTCGGGCTGCGTACACCGTATGCTGCTGCTGCTGCTGCTGAGTAGGTACGACTGGCAGCTGTTTGTCAAATTAAAACCAACAAGTAAGAAAACCCCGCGCCGCTCCATTTTATTAGAAATTCCTCTTGGATTTACTGTCCGCACTTACTGCATGATGCCCAAGGCTTCGTTGATCTTTTCCCTCTGCAAGCTGTACTTGTCATCGCTCAGGTTCGAGCACATCGACGTCTTCCGACTCCTCACTTGATCCGGATCCTTGTCCTCTTCCAATATTTCCGGCAAGAACATCATCTGTTGTGCCTCGGGAACCCTGTACATAACGGTCAAGTAGAGGGGGCCAATCAAGCAATAAACAGTAGGTATAGAGTTATTACGACATGTCGTGCACCGATCCTCTGTGCGTCTTCTTTTTGTAGTGAGCAGAAGCACTAGTGTACGGCAACGTCAAGTCGAACTCGTTGAAGTAAACGTCTTTGACCAACGGCGGAGTGATCCTGGTAAGGAAGTCCACGGCCAAAAATGATACCTGAATCGATCGGAAAAGCACATTATTATTTTTTGGATGAAAAGTACAAAAGCAATCGCAGACCCAGACAATTGTATAATGTCTACTACATTATTTATAAGTGTCTCAGCACAATTATATCATGCTATAATTCAGCCCTTAGTCCCTGATCTGTGCAAAAGCTTTAGTGTATTTTAATTGTCAGCATTGATTGCTACCTATTTTACCTTGGTGTGTCTGTCGATAAGCCAATTCAACTCAAAGTCTTCTTCGTCGTCGCCAAATGGATTAATCAATTGCTCGGCTACCTAGAAATTTAAAGTCGTTTAATATGCCGTCGATAATATTACAGTCAAGTCACAAATCATAGGATTTAAAGTAAAAAAAAGGTGAATTGAGCTCAAAATACAATACTTTTTTGTTGAAAGCCAAAACAGGTCTCACAAATGTCTTATGAAATTAATAATTTTATGTTTTATCACTCAAAATACATAAAGCCTAAAGCACGTTGTTCATTCCACATTTTATTTAAGGGTTTCTTTGATTTTTTAAGCTAACGTTTTATGTAACACCAATCGTATTATTACTCAAACCGATCAACCTGTCCGTTTACCTTAAGTCTTCGTTTTCTCTGTGGCACTCGTTGGTTTAATTTTCTATACACAAATTATATAGGTACAATATAATACATTGTACACTGCACAGTATTTACAATGTATTTGTATTAACTCTGCGTGAGGAGGAACTAGATTAGATTAATCATTCATAATTACAATATAATATCATTAGCATTTCTTTTAATGTTATTACAAAATTATTACCGGCCACCTATATTTAGCACAACAGCTATTAAACAATTAAAAAACCTCTTTCGTTGGTCCTTGGTGCAAATGCATTATCAACGATAGTATGTTGAATATTTAAAATTGTCATAATATTATGTAATCTAACATGCACCCTTTGTATACCACGCGGATGCCTTGGTCTACTTAATATATTATGCATGCAACTCTTTTGACGTCCGTGTAAACACGAGCCATTTAATTAATTTTGTTATTATAAACAATTGATCGCTAACGCGATTGGACTTATGAATCGACGATTCGGTAATACTAGTTATAATATTTTCAATGCAACTGATCAATAAGATTTGACGAATCACGGTATTGCAGTCGCTGTCGCCTATTATAGAGTTGAATAGTATACCTGTATTAATTAAAATTAAAGTTTAATAAGTTTGTCGGCCTTTCATGGCGCAAAAACAAAAAAATATATATATATATGCAACCCAGTTCCTCCGTGGAAATCTCAAAAAAAACCTTTGGCGTCTTTTACCTTGAACGATTATACCCATTCGGTTTCGCCAAATCAATACACATTTTCACATTGATGCGCGCCCACAGAGATGTGTCGTGACAGTGCACAATTTTTGCATTCAATCGTTTTCGCACAAACACAATAATGTTATGATACGTTTACCGCCCCGCCGAGCATACGTTGGTCACGGTAATAATTATATGTTTGCGAACCCTGAGGTCTCGTGTATAACACAAAAAGGTCTATTTTAGTCACTTCCTTTTGTTGATCCTCATCTTTCAATGATTTTCAAAGGCAGTTGATCGTACGGTGATTAATCAGCGTTATGTATTGACGGCCACTAGTTTCAGATTGAGATTTACACGCTGAAGGCTATAAAATATTTTAGTGGGCATTTTTTAATATATACACCCGGAAAGAACGACACTGTTTTCACATGGGGTCGTGCGGTACTCTGACCGTCTCGGCCGGAATTTTACGCTATTTATACAATTAATTTTGGTCCCTAATATTTGTATTGTCCCTGTAAAATGTGATCATATGCTGTAAGTATGAGTAGTGGTTACTAAAAAAAAAAAAAAAAATGATTTACTTTCAACAGTCCCATGAAAAACAGGAATTGCACTATGGTGAACACCGGCACGTAGACGTCGTATTCGGTTTGCAATTGTTTGCTGGACCCTTGCACGTACTGTCTTCCCACGATGGCCGCAATGAAAAACGAGTAAGTCGCTATCGTGACGACCTTTGTGTGTATGGAAAAGATACGCATAAGTATGGAACCCTTGTGCGTGTGTGTGTGTGTGGTGGTGGCGAAGTGTCGCGTCCTGGAAACGCATTTTTTTATTTATTTTCTTTTAACGACATTACCTGCGTGTACGCCAACGGTATGCTGATCCAATCGTAGCTCCACAAAAGGCCGCACTTCGATCTGAACTCGTTGAACTCCTGAAATGTGACAAGACGTGCCCGTCAACAAATAGACATCACGGACAACCCGTTTTTGTGTGTCGTTAGGTCGGGTTAACCTATGTTTTTTAGAGGATTAACGAAGAAGTTGACGTACAAAAGCTGTTGAGCTTTTAATTTTTCGAGTGCGAAAAAATAGTACCCTTAGAGTACACGTATGTAAAATAGTGGGAATGTAAAGTCCTATGGGTTTTCGCAGTGTTAACCGAAATAATTTACCTTATGATTAAATTACGCAATAGCTACCCGTCGTTAATACTTCTACTGCCGTTTGTGTGATTTATTCAAATTTTAGCTATATAAATGATATATTATTATATTATATTCCGTATGTTGTCTATTACAACTGAATCATTGTACTTATATGTACCTATACCAAATGATAACTTTGCTACTTAAAGATTATTTTGGTTAACATTTTGGTTACTGATTACGATTATTATTAATAAGTATTTGTATGGTTCAACGGTCTCGGATTTTTTTTTAATTATTCAACTAAAAGTACAGTTCTAATAACTTCAAATAACTTTTAATGAATTTTAACAAAAAAATAAACTTTTTTTTTTATAACAGACTGTTTATGTTGTCTTGTCAACAATGTCGAAATAAACCGAATATACATGGTTAAATATTTTATTTTTTGATCTATACACCTATCACCATAATGATTAGTATTAAAATGAAACCTGACCCATAATATTATACTATGTATTTATGTGAAATTTTCAAAAAAGTAAAAAAAAATTTATTTCTATTAGTTTTTTAATATGCGATAATTTTGGAAATTCGAGGTTTTTCGTAGGAAAACTTTTGTAATTTATATTTAAGACTTACGGATTATTTATGGATTGCGGCGACAAAAAGGTAAATAGGATATAGATTATAGTTTTTGGTTTTTAGTATGTTGTACACCATGATATTCGGTATAGAATCTATGCTATAAACAGTATCGATTTTGTTTTTAATGATTTCAATTCGTTTTAATATTTCTGTACTTAGGTAATACAATTGTTATCGTGAAATTGTCTACTTAATTCTTTATTTCGTGGTTAAAAAATTTGTTTTGCATGAAACTTGGTCGTTTTTAATAGTAGGTAATTATTTGATAAATATAGATGTGGAAAGAAGAAAAGTGTTTTTTTAAATAAATACATGTGATATGAGACAAATATATGAGTACAAATACATGATTTTTGTGAAGATTTTCGAAATTGTACATCAATTATAAAATGTAACTCAATACATACTTAATACTATAGAATCGAGTATTATTTTACTCAATTTAAATGTATGTAAATAGTCTCATAATAATTTTGTACAACTCTTTTTTAGACTTCGTTAATCGTTTAACTATTTTCCTTGTGGTTTCCACAACAAGACATATATAGATAAAATTAGAACGGTAATTATTATTATTGTTGTAGGTTTATTCGGGAATGCACACTATCGGAATTGAACATTAGACTTGACAGTTGCGGAACACAATACACAGTCTGGTATGTTAACGGTTTTGCTTGAAGTTTGTTCGACAGGATTTGTATTCTTAAGGCGCCCCCCAAGCCTATTCAAATTCAATGATACTGGTTAGTTTAGTTTTCGTCGTGCAAGAAAAATGTAGGCTATTATTTATTATTATCGTGTTTGTATATATTTTTTATATTAACGTTGGGCTGGTCGGCCGGTGCATGTATGTAAGCAGGATACTTGTTTTGCCGTTGCTTTTAGTGCTTAGTAGAGCGTTATCGCGTGTATCGCCGTAAACACCGCTCGGCGCAAAAATAAAAAATGTGTGTTAGCCGTAAGAAAATGAAACTCGTTCTTTTTTATTTATTTTATTCCATCTTATCCGCATCGCATAATAAAATCTATTTGATTAAAAGCGAAGGATTTACAGTCTGGCCGCAGACAGCCCGGTATAATGTCTCAATATTATGTCGCTTTGCTCGAGTTCGTTGAGGTCACATATTGGACCTGGCCGGGTCCTAAATTCTCATCTGCTTGTATTTTTCAAAACAATTACAAACACTGGGGGCTCACCTCCATTATGAGTTTCATCCCTTGTGGGTCATCGATCCTGTTGGCCTTTTTGGCTTCTTTCAGCACGTGAGTGAACCAAGTGCACGGTATCCAATAAGTGTTGAACTCGATGTTGGGAAGCGATTGGAATATTTGCAGTTCGTCCGCCGTCATGAAACCTGTACAGGAAAAACTCACAATATTATAATGGGTAAATTATATGGGCGAATCCACTCCAAATCCACCCAAGCCGGTTTGTAAAAAAAATAATATTAATACTATTGTTATTCTAATTAGAGAAAAGCAAAAAAAGTGATTTTTTAATTAAAAATATGTGGTTTTATTTTAATTAAATTAAATAAATAATTGTGTTTTAAATTTCGAAGTCTTGGTTTTTTCCATTTTCTGCGTTGGCTAACATTTTTAAAAATATGGTTTTTTTTAATATTAATCGAGCAATCGGCCTGGTCGATTTGACATGGATTGTCCCACGCACTACCGCTACGACAGGCCACCACTGGCCAACCGAGCTAACCAGAATCGACCACGTGCTCCAGGGTTGGGAAACGTTTTTTGACGGATGAGCTGATGGATCGCAATACCATTATCAGGGTGAGAATCAGATATCTCATTAACGACCTCCGTATCATCCGGCCATGGTCGTCGTTGCCGTCAATGTACAACGATACCGTGTGCATAGCTCTGGAACAAGTACAAAAATCACATTGCATATTATACATATTACACAAAAAACTAAATCGAAGTACATAAAGGTAAAATAAATAAGTCCATCTTTCAAAAATTATGTAAAGAGTTTTCAGTGTTTAAATGTTTTCAATTTTTTTTTTTTGAAAAACAAACTTATCACATTTCTTTTACACTTGTAAGTACATAATAATAGACCGTATACATTATAATAGGCTTACTTGTCTGGCCAAGGAATAGCCAGGTACTGCTTCCACCATCGTTTGGCCACGTACGTGACATAAAAGCCCAAGATGAACGACAACGGCAACTGAGTGATGAAAGCGTCACAGTATCTGACCATTTTTTCAAATACTCTGTGAAAACGCCGCTTTTAATTATTAATAGAAACAACAATAATAACGTTAACCATTTACATTTTTTTATCATTAAGGCAGCACCGGCACGTCGAGGAGAGAAACATAAATACCTAAGACCGGGAAGTTCATAGTGCATTCAGGCGCTAGACTTAACTCTTTGGATTTGTTGTGAGCAATTGTGTAAAAAAGACACTTTTGTAATATATTGTATTCAAATACATATTATACAAACAAATTCGTTCACAATCTATTTATAGTAATTTCAAAAAAGTGACTTAGAACAAATACAAATACCTACTTTTTTTGTAATCTCATTTAAAAAATTAAAAAAAAATTAAAATGCTTCTAAATAAATAAATTTGTTGAATATATGCCTCATATTTTAGTTGATTTACTAAAGGTACAATACAGTAACCCGGGGTTCAGAAAAGGTTAATGATGAACACATAACAATATATGTGTGGGTGTATCATAATTTTGTATACGTTTGAAATTTTAATAGTATTTTGCAAACAGATGTTTGTTTGCATAGTTCGGGCCGATGTAATAAAACAAAAAAGAAAAGTAAACAAACGCGGAACATATTTACATAATTCGTAATAAAAACGGTAATTTCAAAGTTTTTTAAACATTTTTATTTTTATTTGAAAAATGACACCGACAATTTGACGAACGAGAAATTGTTTCGGGTTAATACTTAGATGCTTCCCGAATTGAAATAGATTTCCAGAAACTTACGGTGAACTATATCAACAGCACCAAGCCGTTAATTGTGTTCATTAACGATATTTTAATTGTCATCACTCAAAAGTCGATGATGTTTTAAATCCTACGCCACAGCAACACCAGTCAAAAGCTTCATGATAAATTACACGGGCCAAAATACAAAGGGCTATATATTTTTAATGATGATGAGCTGTTGTATACTTCATACTTCCAACATTCATGGTAATAATTATTTGTTGTTGTTTTTTTTTTTTTTTTAGAAAGAGTTAAGTATGTTGTAATTATTACCTCTACATACTAGACGTATCTGTCTAACGAAAAAAGCAGAAAATTGTGATTATTTACGAAATGTTCGACACTTATAATTACATATTGGCTTTGCCAACGTTAAAAAAACCTTTCATCTTCCATTTTCAGGGCGATATTACTGTGCTGAGTTCGATGTTACTCGTTAACAATTTTAAACAAATATTGATCTAAATAACTTTTTTTTCTAAGTTTGGTATTTTCATTTTTCAAAAAGGTTTCGTTCAAAAGTATAGCCCATTGCGCTTTACGTTTCTTAAGAATAGTAACTGTTATTTATGATTGTATCAAACATCACTATTTTAATACTGAACGTTAAATATTTTTATCACGTGGATGAGAGTAGTAACTCACAAAACCATTTGCATTTGAACTTTATCAAACACACGAGCCGATTCGACTTGGGATACTTTATCGATTGGTAATACCTTTTTTGTTTGTCATAAATCATAATGTATTTCGTAGGTTTTTTATCGTATTACAAAGCAAGCAGTCAGATAGTCAGAAATCAGAATTATATTTACCGAAAGTACATAAAAGTTAATCGACCGACGACCGTAATATTTTATTGAGTTTATGTTGTAGGTATATACAAATAAGCTAGTAAGCCTTTTTGTGTAAACAACCGCTTATCCTGTATTATCTTAAAAATCAATAAAGTACTATATATGTAGACTGTAATAATATAGGTAAGTATTCGAAATGATAAAATGTACAGCCGAGGAAAAACTCAGCTTTATGTTTATTGTAAGCCTGTTCCGCAGTACTCGAGAATTTTTATTATTATTTTATAAATCACTATAATTATACTTTATATCATTTAGTGAGGAAATTTTACCGGTACGCATGAGTTAATTTTTTTATTACATTGAACATTTTTTTTATTTTTAAAAGGTTATAAATTATATAGTGTATACATAATACAATAAACAAATTACTTGTTGTGTCTAAAAAGTTATGTAATCTAAATATGTGTGATATGGTATATTTACATTAAAAATTGAATTTAACAAATCATTTATAAGCTGTTAATTTAAATCGGAATGTTAATATAAACTTAGATATTATTTCATTTCTAAAAAAATTATTGTGGATAAGAAGTAACCCATATATTTCCTGTACTAGTTTCGCCTCCTGAGGGCACCCTGTAAAAAACATAATCTTTAGGTTGGTTCAAAAAATTTTTTTTTTATAAATTTTGGCAAATGTTGCAAATGTTTTAAGTGTTAAAGACGATGATGTTTTGATGTTAACATACAATTTTGCACAACGACAACCGTTTCACGATAATAACTAATTTTGACAGTTAAACGGCAGGTTAATGAAATTCACGACTTTTCAGAGATTTTTCGGTTAAATATTTTGCATCATAAAAGTTGGCATTGGTATATTTTATGACATGTGAAAGTTAACAGAAAATTACCTAAAACAAATTTACATTCTCTACGTCGTGATGTATTCCGAACAATAATATATTTAACCTAACCTAATGTATTATCTGTATGTATAGTTGTAGCTAATTGAAATATATGACACTAGTCTGGGAAACATCGAATGCAATATATATTGTCTTTGTTGCCAAAAACCAATACAACTCTAAGAATTGGTTCGACAGAACCCAATTAGTGTTTATTAGGTAAATTACACCTTGTAACCGATAAGTTTGCTTAGGTCTAAATCGTTTCCAGATATTTTCGGTTTGTCCAATGCCAATGTCGCATTGTACACAATACACAGTTTAAATGCGACAATCGTATAATATAATGCAATCGATGTGTTGTATTATGTTGAAAATTGACACTAGAATAATATTTGATGGATGATGGATGTGAGAACAGACATGGTTCGAACATTTTCGTTTTACCAAAAGTGAATGACTACTAAGCACTTAGCCTTTTTTGTTTTACTCCATTATGCTCGAGACAAGGACGCCAAACGCATTAATATTAATTATAGTTTATGGTTTTTAGCAGTGTTACATACTTTTTCTACCACATATTTCTTTGCAGAGAAAACTATACCAAATTTGATTGTAATTAAATTGTCATTGTACTTTTACATACATAATTACGTCAACAAAAAAGTTATTGAATCTGTTATGATTCAATCGCTGCATAATATAGTTTTCTTTGCTGACAACAATGTTGCTTACTTAACGACTAACATATTTACGGTTACACATTTTGTAATCATCAAATCGTAACCATGGTTACAATCATCAATTTCTTTTAAATCACCATTAAGCATTATTACATGTATTACACGTTGATTGACTTAATATTTAGCGTTATACCGAATATAATATGAATGGTTAAATGCTTTAAAATAACGATAGTAAGAGATTGCTATTTAAAAATAAAGTAATTGGAAATCATAAATACGACTAAGTTATTATTATAAAAATACCATAATAATATGATTACTTTGCCCAACAATGATTACATTATTCTAATATTATGATTTCCCAGCACCACCTGACAGTGTTTGTAAAGTCATCGATCAATTGCTGAAAAATCAAACCACCTCTCCCAGAAATAATTGGTATTATGGATATTTTTCAAGCAAATTTTATTTTTTTTTCACACAACTATGTGAAGTTTTGAAACAACTTTGGGGAAATGTTTGTGTACCGCGCGTTATAAGATGTTGTGGAAGTAAGACAGCTGTCGTATTATAGTTTGTTACTGTCACACATTAATCATGCGCCACGGCTTATTATTAAAATGCATGCACTATACATAAATAATACAAATAAATATTAATTACCAAACGAATTCAATAATACTAAATGCTAATAAGATAATCTTTGATCAACATAGTCAATTGGTACGGGTGCCTATATAATTGTGCTTATAATATATTAATATATTATAGTATGTTCTCCGTAAATGAATAATTACTATCATTCAATTTCAATGTATAGTGTAAAACAAAGTGGCTTCTTAATATTTCGGATGTAAGTGTATAGATATTAATAAATAAAATACAAAATATAACAGTTGTTCGACCCGCCGTAACGATTCAAGTAACAAGTTATCTGGATTGAATAGGATGGATGTAGATATTTACGTATACATCCATTCATATGCAAATATAATTAAATTAAATTATATATATATATATATATATATATATATATATATATATTAAGCATTTGTGAATTATATTATTATCACAAATACACCAGATGCCTTACGCGTATTCGGATATTATGTTACAGATAAAATAACCATAGCAAAATCATAATGGGAGCTTAAAACTTGTTTTTTTATCGTGTGATTTACATATAACTGGTAAATGAAAAAAACACACTATAAATTATATTATAGGCGTGTGCGCTGTTTCGTGGCGACAGTAAATCTGATGAACCCGAATAACCTCAGATTCTGAATACATTTTTCCATGCGATTGTTCTCGTTTAACGTTATAAATTTATATTATAATAGACAAATACTTGTGCTATAACATTATATTGTTTCTTAATAGCTGTTTCCCTTACACGCGTTTATTGCAACTGAACGGCCACACCGAAGTGTACATCAATTCTGGGCTCTAAAAACATTAGATGACAAATACATGTATATGGATCATACACCAAGGACAGCTCATCTATCAAACCGAAGTCTGTTAACGGCTAATGGTAATTTTCATTTTTATTAAGCATAAATATATCGATAAATAAGAGGGTTGAATAACTGATTTCATTTAAAATATTATAATCTCTCGAAAAACATTTTTTTTTTAAATAGGGATCACTGTTCTTAGTGATCTTTTCCCGCTTGATCCACATTCATCCTAATAGGATGTATTATGGATGTGACGATTGCGTTTATAGCCATAACAGGGTTTGGCTTAAATTATTACTTTACACGATTAAATTACCAAACTAATCTTGGTTAAATAATGCGTTAATATGTTTTGATGTTTATTTAAAATGAATTACTAATCATGATTACCTTTGTCAT